TATTTGTGTTTTTATGTTTACTCTTGATCTGTGGCTGAAGTCATATATCTGAAATCATAAGCTCTCTGTGAATCTATGTGAGTATCATTCAGAAAGACCTTTAACTCTCATTGAATCTGTTATTAAATTGGTCTATGACCATACCACCCTGAATGTGCTTGATCTCATCTGATCTCATGAAGCTAAGCAGGGTGGGGCCTGGTTAGTACTTGGATGGGAGACTGTCACAAAATAAGGTGCTGATGGCTTTCAAAGAATTTTTTTATATATTAAAAATTTTAAAAATATTAAATTAAAGGAGCACTGTTCTGATGAGAGAACATAAGTGCATATATGAATTAAATGTTGTTCCCAGAAAATAAACAAATTGACTTATAATACTTTAAATGTACTAGACTTTAACAAAACATCTCTTACAGAAACTAACTCAGAAACCAAGAATGCATATTTAACATTATTTTGACAATTATGGTTTTTTCCGATTTCTTAGTGTAAAGGATAATACAAGCATATATTGTATTTTACTAAGATTTATTTTTCCTAAACTTGTATAGGTTTACTGATCAAATAAATTAACATGATACCAAAAAATGTTTATGATTATAAAAGATGTAAAGTTGTAGTCAACAAAATGAAATCATTACTCTGACAAATTTTGTATCAACAGCTATTATACTTTGAAGTAGGCCGGATTAAAGATTATTTCCAAGATCTTTAAGCAATTCAAAATCGTGGACTGACATTAAATTGAGTTAATGGGTAATCATTGAAAAGAAATAACTTTATTTTCTAAGTAAAATAGAATATTAAAACACTGATTTAACCTAAACATAATTTTAAATTTAAATGTTTTTGTTTCTTATTTTTAAGTGCTGTGAAGTGGCTAGCTATATCTTGGAGTCATGTCATGAATGCATTTATTTTTGACACTTTAGGAAGTTATGAAAAGATTTTGTGTGACCATAGAAAGTTCTGTCATAAGTATTCTTAACCTCTGCTACTCTATTAAAATGGTTGTATATGCCAGACAGTTTATTTTCCATCCGGCTCTTTTCTCTTTAAAACAGAAATTAGTTACTTTGGTTAAAAGTTGTAAGTACTCTCCTCCCTGGGGGAAATAGGGGAGGGACGTTGGGGGGTGGGGAGCTGGGGAGAGGGAGAGAGAGCAAGGGGAGAGATGCCAGATGTAGGTGATGGGGAGGAAGGCAGCAAATCACACTGCCACGTGTGTACCTATGCAACAATCTTGCATGTTCTTCACATGTACCCCAAAACCTAAAATGCAATAAAATAAATGGGAAAAAAAAAGTTATAAGTAATATGGGTGGTTTAAACTCTTCAAGTAATAACACTGACAGAGAATTACAACAGTATATGTCCTTTTGTTTTTCAAGGGAAAAAAGTAGGATTTTCCTAAAGTGGATTCTTGGTTTCCAGACCCTTTTATACTTTTAAAATTTATTGAGAACCTCAAAGAGCTTTTGCTTATGTGATTTATAATGTAAGTTATAATTATAGATATTTACCATATGAAAGAAAAAAGGAAAATTTTTAAATATTCATTGAAAAATAGCAACGATGAACACATTGCATGTTGACATAAATGATCTTTTTTTGTTACAAACAGTGACTATTTTTCAAAACAAAATTTTATGAGAAGAATATAATTGTTTCACATATTTGCTTATCTCCTATTATCTGGGCTAGTAGAAGACAAGACAGCTATATCCTTATATTTTCTTCTACTTATTTTATTTTTTGAGACAGAGTCTTATTCTGTCACCCAGGCTGGAATGCAGTGGCATGATCTCAGCTCACTGCAACTTTTGCCTCCCAGGTTCAAGCAACTCTCCTGCCTCAGCCTCCCGAGTAGCTGGGATTCCAGGCTTGCACCACCATGCCCAGCTAATTTTTATATTTTTAGTACAGACAAGTTTCGCCATGTTAGCCAGGCTGGTCTCAAATTCCTGGCCTCAAGTGATGCACCTATCTTGCCTTCCCAAAGTGCTGGAATTATAGGTGTGACACACTGCGCCCAGCCTAGTTTCTACTTTTAATCCTTTACAATGTGATGTATCAAGTAACCTATGGAAAACAACAGTGTATACTCATGAGAGAATGAAAGTCAAAAAGGCACATGATTTTTCATTATTATGAAAATTGTTTTGACCTCACAGATCCCCTAAAAGAATATGAAAGAGCAGAAAGAAAGACAAAAAGTGGAAAGTATATTTTATTTGCCTTGATTTATAATACCTGAGTCTGAAAAGAAGCTATGAAATATAGTAAGATATTTACAATGGTCCCTCAGTTTAGATGAGTTTGCTTCCTTTATTTGGAAATTAATGCTTCTACCTGCAATGTAAAAAGTTTATCTTTTATGTAATCTGTGTAAATAGAATGGATTCTGTGCCTTTCAAGAAAAAAGTTCTATGATTAAATTGTCTTTATTATGTTCTTATCTATGGGAAAAAATCCCATAGAACATATGCTTTTTACTTATGAAATAACTAACATTTTTACAATAGTGTTACCTTCTGTGTTTTTTTTTCAAATGCTTTATTTTTACTTTAATTAGGTAAAGAAGTATTATTTCTCAGGCAATCATGATCTCACCTAATCAACTCCACAACTCTTAATTTTGCCCTCTCAAAATCAGTTTCTAAATTAGATCAAATAAAAAGTTCAGGATTTTTTAAAAATTATTATACTTTAAGTTGTGGGGTACATGTGCAGATCATACAGGATTGTTACATAGGTATACACATGCCATGGTCATTTGCTGCATTCATCTCCCCATCACCTACGTTAGGTATTTCTCCTAATATTATCCTTCCCCAAACCCTGCTATCCCTCCGTAACTCCCCTATCCCCCAACAAGCCCCGAGGCTTGTGTGATGTTCCCTTCTCTGTGTCCTGTGTTCTCATTGTTCAACACCCACTTATGAGTGAGAACATGCGGTGTTCGATTTTCTGTTCTTGTGTCAGTTTGCTGAGAATGATTGTTTCCAGCTTCATCTATGTCCCTACAAAGGACATGAACTCATCCTTTTTTATGACTGAGTAGTATTCCATGGTGTATATGTGCCACATTTTCCTTATCCAGTCTATCATTGATGGGCATTTGGGTTGGTTCCAAGTCTTTGCTATTGTAAACAGTGCTGCAATGAACATACGTGTACATGTGTCTTTATAACAGAATGATTTATACTCCTCTGGATATGCACCCATTAATGGGATTGCTGGGTCAAATGGTATTTCTATTTCCAAATCCTTGAGGAATTGCCACACTGTCTTCCACAATGGTTGAACTAATTTATACCACCATGAACAGTGTAAAAGCATTCCTATTTCTCCACATCCTATCCAGCATCTGTTGTCTCCAGATTTTTTAATGATCGCCATTCTAACTGGCATGAGATGGTATCTCAATGTGGTTTTGATTTGCGTTGCTCAAATGACCAGTGATGAGCATTTTTTCATGTTTGTTGGCTGCATAAATGTCTTCTTTTGAAAAATGTTTGTTCATATCCTTCACCCACTTTTGATGGGGTTGTTTGTTCTTTTCTTGTAAATTTGTTTAAGCTCTTTGGAGATTCTGGATATTAGCCCTTTTCAGATAGGAAGATTGCAAAAATTTTCTCCCATTCTGTTGGTTGCCGATTCACTCTAATTATAGTTTCTTTTGCTGTGCAGAATCTCTTAAGTTTAATTAGATCTCATTTGTCTATTTTGGCTTTTGTTGCCATTGCTTTTGGTGTTTTAGTCATGAAGTCCTTGCCTATGTCTATGTCCTGAATGGTGTTGCACAGAGTCTCGCTCAGTCACCAGGCTGGAGGGCAGTGGTGCGATCTTGGCTCTCTGCAACCTCCACCTCCCTGGTTCAAGCAATTCTCTACCTCAGCCTCCTGAATAGCTGGGATTACAGGTTAGCATCACCACACTTGGCTAAGTTTTGTATTTTTAGTAGAGACGAGATTTCACCTGACCAAACAGGATAGTCTCCAACTCCTGACCTATTGATCTGCCTGCCTTGGCCTTCCAAAGTGCTAGGATTACAGGTGTGAGCCACCAGGATATATTTTATACCTAAAACTAAAACTTTTAACCTAAAACAAGTGAAATTTCTCAGTGGGCCTTTGGAAAATCACAGAGATTCATTATTTGACCTTATAAAAGGAGATGTGGGAAATAGTTGTTAGATGAAAAAAGATACTCAGCGTTTTTGTTTTTGTTTTTGTTTTGTTTGTTTTTTTTTTTTTTTTTTTTTTTTTTTTTTGGAGACAGGCTCACTCTGTCACCCAGGCTGGAGTGCAGTTGTACGATCTCGGCTCACTGCAACCTCCGCCTCCCAGGTTCAAGTGATTCTCATGCCTCAGCCTCCTGAGTAACTGGGATTACAGGCACGCACCACCAGGCCCGACTAATTTCTGTATTTAATAGTGACAGGGTTTCACCATGTCAGGCTAGTCTTGAACTCCTGACCTTGTAATCTACCCACCTTGGCCTCCTAAAGTGCTGAGATTATAAGCATGAGCCACCGTGCACAGCCTATAAGTTGTTTTAATAAAATGTTATAAATCAGAAATTTTGTGCTTTATGGGAAGTCCCTGGCCATTTTTTAGTGCTGTCCTTGTCCATTATGTTATTTTACTTTCAGGTATAACCCTGATCAAAACTGTTAAATGTTACTATTATGAAAGCTGCATGGGAATAATTGTTATACATAAGTGACATTCAATCTTCCATAAGTTTGTTTTGATAAAATGTTATTAATATAAATATAAAACCCAGGTTTTCTGATGTGCATTTGTAAAATGCATGTCTCTTTCTTCTAAAGAAATATACACTCTTACCCAGATAAAATAGACATGTGGCTATTTCTGATAATCTAAAGGAAATATGGAAAATAAAGTAGCATAAGTTATTCTATGATAAAGGTGGTTTCATACCCATTTTATATAACAGAATCTATTTTATTTTTAAAATTTAGAAGGAATTTGGAATGAATGTATGACATATTCACTTATTTATAATCTTTACATTTCTTTCTTATTGCTCTTGCTATTATCTCTGCCGCCTTGTCAATGTGACTAACTATTCCTTCAAGATTCATTAGAGGTGCAATTTCCTCCAGTAAGCCATTCTCCACCCCTTTTAATATTGTGCCCATTATGTGCCATGAGTAACATTCTTTGCCTACCTCTGTCATAACTCTTGATGTTTAAATCACCTGTATACTTTTATCATCTTTTGTATTGTAAAATCTTAAAAGATAGAGGCCATATTTAAATATCTCTAAATTCGCAGCATTTAATGCTATTCCTGGAACCTACATGATACTCGATATTGTTTACTGCATAAAAAATAATTAAATTACTAGGTACATAGTGGGATACCTAGGCCTATTGGAATTACAAAGATAAATAAAATGTAGTTCCTATTCTATTCCAACAATAGATTATTTATCCTATGCATGGGTTAATTAATGGTTTGTGTACTTACAAAAGATTTTTTTTAAAAACCTATAGAATCCATTATTTTTATTTTATGGACAAGAAGCAGAGGCTCAAATTAATAGTTACTTTTTTTTTTTTTCAAGATTATACTGGTAAAAGCAGAGCTAAGGCTTGACTCCAACCCTCCTGATGCCTGTCCTGTGCTTCTCTACACTAAGCTGACCTATCCTTTAATGAAGAGCCTTCAATAATGGCTATGCATTAAAAAATAAACTAATATAACTTTGAAAGGATGATAAATCAGAAATGTTTCTTCTTAATCTTTTAAATACAGCACATTGCAGAATCCTTGAGGTGACTTTAGATTTATTTCTTCAAATTTCCATCATTCATCAAAACTTTTTGTATACTTTATTATTATAGTAAATGTCTTCGAACAGAGCTGAAAAGTTGCAAGTTATAAAACCCACTTATAATCTCCACTTTTTGAATGTTTATGTTCTTAAGAAGTTGCCAAAACCTAACCCTTCATTTCCTCCCTGTACCCCACTAAATATTTGTATTAGTCAGGGTTCTCTTAGAGGGACAGAACTAATAGGATATATGAGAGCCAGTCCAAGTCCTAAAACTGAAGAACTTGGAGTCTGATGTTCAAGGACAGGAAGCATCCAACAGGAGAGAAAGATGTTGACTGGGAGGCTAGACCAGTCTCACCTTTGTACGTTTTTCTGCCTGCTTTATATTTGCTGGTAGCTGATTAGATTGTCCACATCAGATTAAGGGTGGGTCTGCCTTCCTGAGACCACTGACTCAAATGTTATTCTCTTTTGGCAGCACCCACACAGACACACCCAGGATGAATACTTTGTATCCCTCAATCCAATCATGTTGACACTTAGTATTAACTATCACAATATTTTTTTTGGCAACTGTCTTACTTTCAGGAACACCAAAATAATTATTTTCCAGCTATATTGGTCAAATCCAGAGTTAAAATAATACTATAATAGAGTCAATTTCTAGAGAACCTCAAAGAAAATTTTTTAATTTATTGATATTTGTATCGAAATTATCTTTAAAATGTTTACAATAGGTTGCTTTGTTTTTCAAGATTCGAGCAAGTAAAACAAAGAGCTTCTTTGGCCCAAGGGTGTGCAAGAGAACTGACAAAACGAAGATTAAAAAAGAATTAAATAATGGTGACTTTGTTAGAATGTGTTGTGATTCTTTTGAAAGAAAGAAACTCATTTGGGTACATGAAAAAGAAATTTTAAAAATGTGAAGCAAATTTTTTAAAATATGAAGGAGCAAAAACAATCAGCTGAAACAAGTCAAATAAGTCTTAGGTTAAACAAAATAACTGTGCAGTACAAAATTGGAGTTTTAATAGACTATAATAAATGAGAGTTGGTGGTATCACTACTTGGGTCACCAGAGGCAGAGAAAGAAACTAATTTTTATTGAACACTCCTAATGTGCCAACCATTGTGGTAAACAAATTACATGCTTCATCTGATTTTATCCAACTAAAATTTAAAGATTTTTATAAAAC